CCACCAGCTCGGACCTTCCTAGCTATGACTTGCTAGGCCGTGTTCACGGTTGCAAATCATTCTCATTCTCTTCGGTTTCCTTTGATAAAAAGAAAGTTACGCTTTGGTTGAACTACCATTTCTTTGGTAACAAAGAAAAGAATACTGAGCTGTTACGTAACATCTGTTACGGCAGCGAATGTTGGACGATTTCCTCAAAGATGAAAAAGAGACTGGAGGTGACGGTGATGTGGTTCGACAGAAGGATGCTAAGGATATCATGGACCGAGCATGTAAGCAACGATGAGGTTTTAGGTAGGGTACAAACAAGGAAAAGGCTTATACATAACATTAGAAAGAGATAGCTGAAATTTCTGGTACACATAGTGAGGAAGGAGGGCCTGGTGAATCTGATACTCACAGGTCAAATAGAGGGAAAGAGAGACTAGCGAAACCAGCGCGTGACATACCTGACAAGCTTGAGCAGGTGAATAACAGAACGTGGTCTGGGGGAGAAAGCAGAGTGAAGCAGCTTGCTGAGAGCTGCAAAGGAAAGTGGTAGGTGGAGAGCCATGATTGCCTACGTCCTGAAAGAACATGGCATGTAAAAAGAAAAAGAATCAGTAAATAAGAAGTATATATATATATATATGTATATATATATATATATATATATATATGTAATTATTTATTTTAAAAAATTATGACATAATATGTTATAAAATCACTACAAAAATAGCCATTTTGTTTCAACACCCTCGATGTCTTATCAAGTGATGATGTTGAATGTAAAATAAATGGTTTTAAAAGTTTCAAATTAATTAACGATCCTTCGCAAGGGGAAAACGTTGTTACAAAAGCTAGAATGACCAATCAAAATAAAAGTATAGGAAAATTTTGTTGGTTATTGGAATTCATTCCGTATACACCAATTATATACTTGTATATATATATATATATATATATATGTATATAAATAAAAAGAAACATGGTTGGAAACTGTGTAGCGAAAATAACCATATTTTAAATCAATTAATTTATAATATATATATATATATATATATATATATAGAGAGAGAGAGAGAGAGAGAGAGATATGGGAAGTACCTGAGATAGATAGATAGATAGATAGATAGATAGATAGATAGATAGATAGATAGATAGATCATGTAGTCGCCATCCCTCAAAAGCAGAATGTGAATCATAGCCATTTTTAATATAAGGATATATATATATATATATTCGTTAATTGTTACGCTTGGTTAACAGATTGTCATACTTAGTTAATTACATATACATACATGTAAACACGCCTGAGCAAATGTGTAAAATATTGAGTGAGTAGACAAGCGAACGTATTCAGCAACTCATCAAACAGAATTGTGTTTAACTGAACAACATAACCTGGGTATATATATATGTACAAGACCCACAGAATGCAACAACATCAGCACTAGCGCCACCTGCTGTCAATTGACACACTTCTCACACCGTTTGAGGGCATCTGGGATATATTTAGAATCTCTACTGCACAGCCAGTCACGTGTTTTGCGAGACGAGCATCGAAGCAGAGGCTGCCATCTCCATCATTCGGCACCATCACCATTGGGAATTTCACTTCCAGAATTCTGGTGCTGAAACCGATATCCCTGCAAACAGACATTCTTTGACTGTACTAGTTTGTTTGAAGAGCGGAATGCTTCGCAGACATTCACACAAAAGCAGCCATGTACACTGTAAGGATTCACCTTTCTTTGGTAGTTAATCAATTTTTTTTTTTAAATAATTTTATAGTCAATTTCAGAAAATTGATTCCAGTTGGGATCAGCTAAAATGCTTTTCTGACACATATAAGTGACAGTCACGTAAACAGGTCCACTTAGTAAAAATGCATTGATGGAAATGTGTTAATTATATTAGATAAGCGAATAGGGTAGGTGGAAAGTTGGCAATAACACAGCAGGCAAAGAAGAAACAGTTGTGCCTTCAGCAGGCGAGTTCAACAGATATATTTCTAAAATGCTTAAAAAGAAATAGTAGAAAACCTTATCAAAATATTATTTGCGCATTCAGGCAACAAGAATGGTTTGTGCTAAAATCTCAGTAATTGTAAAACTTTCTATCTTCGAGCAGATGAATTTCTATTAAACGTCTTCCTTTAAAAATAATTAAGTTTGGGCCCAGATTTCAAAATGTCCATTTTTTTCTCTTCTTTTCTTTAAACCAAAATAGTGTATTTATTAGGTTGGTGCAAAATAATGACGTAATAATGTCGTTTTTGACGTTACGTCAAAAACGACATTGTTACGTCATTATTTTTGCACCAACCTAATATTAATAGGTATCTATTCTTGAACGATTTTAACGATATTTTCAGAGGAAACATAAATCTAAGAAACGAACCATTCTCTTTTCTTTGAGTCCCTTTATTTGTTAAATATTTTACTAATTCTGATAATGTCGAACTTGATGCTAGAAAGATCACTATCTAAGTAGAATAATAGATAGCAGCTAATGATAGAAGAATCGGAGACAGTTAGAATTCCAGCCAATTTGATTACATTCACTTACCTGCTAATAAAAGGTATGAATCCATCTCTTCTCTCCCCAGCTATGAATAAATAGCAGAAACTGGCCTTGGATAGCAACAGGTCTAAAAGGACAATTCAGAATTCAAAACATGAGAAAAATTGTACACAAGACTGGGCTCTATAACCTTTGTTGGCAACCAGTGTAGAAAATGGAAAAATCTGTACTCAAATCAGCCTGGAGGGGTTTGGACTTCTTCAGTTTGCCATTGGATCACCATTGCGACTGCAGTATATGTAGTGTCCTTGCGGTCCTAATGGCTTACGGGAATTGTATACTGTGTATAATGTGGTGATACGATGAGACTGGCTTTGTATTGCAGACCGCAGCTTTCATATATTCTAGTGGTAGCCTGTTCGAACCCAGTCATTCTTAGCACCCTCTGCCCCTTCACCCTTCTTTCCGTTGACTTGGATTATGTTCTGGAGTTTCTTTGGACTGAGAACCAGTTCTGATTATTTTTTGTCAAGTCTTCGGGAGTGTAGCCATACGCTTGACCAGTTATGGCCTAGTGAGGCTATCTAACCCATAAAAAGATCTTCCTCTCTTTAACAGTTCTTGATTTATTTTGCTGCTGGTGTTCCTCAACAGATCAGGGTCTGATGGAAGAGATGGTTTAGTCACCGACGTCCATAATGCAGATTGTACTAATATAAGGAGATATGTATTCATAAATGACACCAGTAGCATACAAATATATTACATGTTACCAGTAGTATGCAGAAAATTGATGACTATATATATATATATATATATATATATATATATATATATATATAATAATCGGATGTCTAAACAATGATGAGCTATGATACAGCGAAACAGTCTGTCTGTGGATGACTATATATATATATATATATATATATATATATATATATATATATATATATATATATGCAGAGTGGGTTGTCGTCTAAATTACGCAAAAAAGAAAATAATACTAACATCTCATTTTGATACATATATTTACCAAAATTACACAAAAAATCTTGAAATACTACCAGTAAATTTATTCAACAAAACCACCATTGGCTTCAACCACGGCCTCCAGACGACTTCGGAATCTCCTGCAACTCTTCCTGGCGGTCTTCTGGTGTAAATTGCTGAATGCTACCATAATCTTTGCCTTCAGTTCATCTTTGGTGTTACAAGGAGTTTTGTTGTTCTCTCGCTCAACTGCGCGCACGCATAATAATCAAGGGGGTTGCAGTTAGAGTTAGGTGATCACATCTATAGGGGGGTGATGTGGTGGCAGTCATGACTTGGTTCTCCTGCTTGTGTGTCATAGTGCAGAGTCCTGTTGCCAAACATAGGTTTTTCATGCAGCCACCTTCGACCCAGGGTAGCACTACCTTCTCAAGGGACTTGATGTAGGCCCTGTGGTAAGAAAAATGGGACATAAGGTCGCCATCACTAGTGATCACTCCAAACACCTTCGTAATCACCATTAGACTCATTAAACTCTTTCCGGATTCTCTGCACTGTCCTCAGATTGACACCCAACACACACTGAAATTTTTGTATTGGAGCTACCGGCACGAATGCCAAGCGGTACAACATATCGTTTCCAAATTTCTGCCGGATTAAATTTCATCATGGTGTTCTTTTTCTCAAAGACGGTGGCCAATTGACCCTACCATATCATGCAGTCGACAAAATCAAAACCAAACAACGCACATGCGCGAAATTAAAAAATATAAAATGGCGAAAATTTACCCATCGCACTCTGTATATATATACGCACTCTGTATATATATATATATTTTACAATGGACGTGGGAGTGAATAGTTTGTCGCCAAAAGTATCACTTATTATTATTACTCTTATCATAATTTTTGTTAAAACGATAAATAATAAAAAAAACAACAAATAAAAATATATATGTTAAATTTAATGTTAAATATGAAAAGTACTTTTAAAAAATCTCCCAAATAAGTTTTCTGAGTTTAATGATAATTTAAAAGACGATTTAACAGACCAACCCAAGTATGTACATGTAATTATTTAACCATAACGATTTATAACTAAATCTCTCTCTATTCTTCAATTGTGAGAACGCGACTAAATAAAAAAATTACTGTCTAGATAAGTAATGATAATAAATAAATTTTCTATAGTATAATCAATACTATAGAAAATTTCCCGAGCGCTTTCGGCTAAAACTATTTTCATGGGTGAGAGGGCGGTCGTTATTTTTATTGTAACAAGGTTTAATAACATATTTTGTCTTTTATAGTGTATTGTGTGAGAAGCATTTTTGTCACAATAATTTGTTTTAAAAGGTGTTTTGCTTAGTTCAGAATATTCTGAATGCGATGGCATTAATTAAAAGTTTGGTTTTTAGTTTGAGAAGTGCTTCTCATCCAATCAAATTATTCTCTAACTATTCCGGATAATTTGGGGGCATTTCTGGAGCTAATCAAAATATCACGTTGAAACATCAATTCTCGTACGATCACCAAAGTTAAGCGACGTCGAGCCTGGTTAATATCAAGATGGGTGACCGTTTGGGAATACCATCTGCTGTAACTTTGGATGTTCGGGTGGCGTCGGAGAGAGCTGAGTTTTAATTTCAGTCGGGTTCGTTGCAGTCATTTACACGCAAATATCTTTGGAAAAGTTATGAATCCATTTCTTTTCCCCTCAGCTATGAGTTAATTAGTAAGACTTGTATCGCTAAACCTTTACTATCGCCACAGATGTCTTATAATCTAAAGTATTTTCTGGCTTTAAATAACCTGCAAAGGGTTGATAAGCCGTAAGAAGCGAATCAATCAATCATTCATTCAGATTGTTTCCTAACTACGTATTTACCCTGTCTCCCAACTAAGACGAGTTGTGACACAAGGCCTTTTTAAAGTTGGGGACCCGAGCTCGTACACCCGGACCAAGAACAAAAATTGCCCGCAGCCCCCGCAACTGTTGGTTGCGCTGGCCTCGCTACGAGCACCGATCCCTCTCTCTCTGGCACAATGAGAGGGCGCGGCCTCGGGCAGCTATTCCCCAGAGCTGGGCACCTCTCAGTATAATTTTCCTCGGTTACGACTCTGTCCTTTGACGGGGTTGTCCCTAAGCGCACTCTGCCCAAAGACAGAGACGCAACTGAGAGATGATAAATAGACGTGTTAAAAACTCCTCAAGAGAGGGGTTTACACACGGTATTTACTCTGTCTTCCCACTAAGACGAGTTGTGACACAAGGTGTTTTCTTTAAGGTGGGGACCCGAGTGCGTACACTCGGACCAGGAACAAAAATTGTCCGCATTCCCCGCAACCGTCGGTTACGCTGCCCTAGGTGCGAACACCGATCCCTCTCTCTGGTGCAATGAGAGGGCGCGGCCTCGGACAGCTGTTCCTCAGGGCTGGGCACCTCTCAGTATAATTTTCTTCAGTTGCGGCTCTGTTCTCTGACGGAGTCATCCCTGAGTGCACTCTGCCCAAAGACAGAGACGCAATTGAGAAATGCTAAATAGATGTGTTACAAACCCACGATGGAGAGATTTACACACTACATTGTTCCTTAACTATTCTGGGTACTTTATGGCATTTACGGAGCTAAACGAATTTAATTGTCGATGCTCGTCTCATATCCATGTAGTATGTAACAGATTGTATCGAGTTTCCTGGTACCAGCTGCATAATGATCTCGTAAGTTTTGCAGTGTGTACTTAATAAGAAAATTGTATTGTTTAATATTAGATATCAAATAAAAGTCACTATTATCCATACATCTTTAGTGCGAAGTATATAGCTATAGGGAGGATTTTGTTTCTTAAACTTATTTAAAGCATTAATATCGCCTCTAGACTTCTTGAAATATAAACTTTTCGTGTATTTTCAGATATCCACTCACACGTTTTATTACGTCCAGTGTACTAATCACTCCTGGGAGTGTTAATGTAATCAGTTCCCACATTTTGGCAATTTCCGTTTCAAGAACAGTAGTTTTATCGAATTCTTCAATTTACAAACTTCGGTCAAGTGGAATAACTATATCAAGAAATAGATATTTTCTCTTTTCCTATTCTCGATTAGGAAAATGACGCATGTGGCATAACATTGACATTTGATAACCTCGAGTGCGTTTTAAGATGGCGTAACATTTGTTTCTATGAGACTTAAGAAGATTAAACTGGATAAGCAGAAAAATAATCCCATGTTATTCACGTCAAAGTGGCTTCTGAATTCCTAAAACATTCAATGATTACGTTTGGTCATATGATCTTTTAACACAAAAGAGAAATTCACAAATATAAGAAACTTTAGCTGTAAGGTTGATTTCTATATGTCTTCATAGTGCAGTGTAAAGCCGTTTTATTTTTCTTGATTCATAATCTGCTTTTAAATGCAACCATTTCTCGCGTAACGGCTTCCCCTTTTAACGACTCCCTGAAGTTGAATTTTTGCCGGAAGTTCATTCTTTACTGTATGCCGTTTTATTTCAATAGTCGCTTTAGAAATTGGTGATTCGAACGATTCAGTGTTTTGTGATAAAACACAACAAAATGGGTACAATATTTACATTAGTCGGACTATTGTCCTCATCTTTGTCGCCATATTTGTCACAACGTTTCGGCCGTTGTACGCTCCGGCCTTCTTCAGGTGAGATGAGATGGAAAGTGAGACAGGCCTTGGAGAGAGCCAAGCTGCCCAGGTCTAACATAACAAAACTGGAGAGACTGGCGATTGAATCACTACAGAGGAACGAAAACATCATCATACTACCGGCTGACAAAGGTAATGCGATTGTAGTGATGGACAAATCGGAGTATACAAGAAAACTGGAAGACCTCATTAGCAATGGTAGCTACAGCAAAGTGAAAAAGGATCTTACAATGAAAACGGAACGCAAACTGTCACAGATCCTAATCAAGAACAAGGATCACTTCGCACCCAAGACGTATAGGCAGTTATCGCAGCGTTACACCAAGTTACCTCACATATATGGTCTCCCTAAGATTCACAAAGACGGTATTCCACTCAGGCCGATTGTTAGTTGCCAAGGCTCTGTGTGCCACCCTCTGAGTCACTTCCTTGTAGATATAATTGACCCATTGATCGGAAAGTCTCCTTCATATGTCCGAAACTCCGCCCACTTCGTGGAAATAATCAAAGATGCTCCCATCCTATCGAACCAGATGGTGAGCTTGGACGTGGTGAGTCTGTTCACCAAGGTACCCACGGAGGAGGCACTCTCAGTAGTCAGAGACAGATTGGCCTCTGACTATTCCCTAGAAGAACTGACCAGTATTCCAATAGATAATCTGATGGAGATGTTGACTTTCTGTACACAAACAACACACTTCGGAATGGGATCACACATATATCGAAAGAATGAGGGCTTAGCAATGGGCTCACCATTATCACCAGCAATGGCGAATATATATATGGAATACTTTGAGGAAATGGCATTAGAATCTATATCTCTAAAACCAAAGGTTAAGGTACGTAGATGACACCTTCATACTCAGGCCACACCAGGGAAATGTTCAGGTTCTACTGGACCACGTGAACTCAGTAAGAGCTTCGATACAGTTCACAATAGAGAAAGAGAGTAACAACACACTCCCATTCCTGGATGTTCTAATATCTCGAACAGAGCATGGGTTCAAGACGTCCGTAAACCGACATTCACCGGACAGTACCTCAATTTCAACTCCCACCATCCATACAGCGTAAAGAAAGGGATCGTCCGTTGCTTACAACACCGAGCAAAAGTCATGTGGCGATCCAGAGACGTTAGATAAGGAATTGGTCAGTATAAGTAGTACCCTACAACGTAACAACTATCCTGGGTACATGGCGGCAGCCCCCAACAACTGGGATAGGCGGGTACAAGAGGAGGAGGAGGACAACAACACTCAGAAACCACAGTCTGCCTGCTTTATGTGAAGGGGTTATCAGAGAAAATACAAAGGATCTGCGGTCCATGTAACATCAGGACAACCTTCAAAAGCGTGACAACACTTCGCAGATATCTCTCACGAGTGAGACCCCCCCCCCCAGAGAGGAACATGACTAAAGACTGTGTTTACGCTATCCCGTGCAGCTGCGGAAAGGAATATAAAGGAGAGACAGGCCGCCCCTTCAAGGTAAGGCTTCAAGAACACCAAAGCTGTAACGCGAGGGGAAGTAGAAAAATCAGGCGTGGCTGACCACATATGGAGAGAAGAGGAGATCACCGCCCCTGTGGGATCATGTTGAGATCATAGACAGGGAACACCATTGGAAAATTCGTAAACTTAAGGAATCAGCACATATGCTAGGCCACAAAAATCTCCTGAGCCGACCAAGCATAGAAATAAATACAATATGGGAACCATAAGGAGTGCCAGAGAAAAGCAATGATAACAAAGTTGCAATATGAACTCTGGTAAAAAGACATGCAATGATAACAGCAAAAATTGCAATATGAGCACTGGTAAAAAATGATGCTGAAAAACATTAGGTTTATAATACTCAAAAGTTCTTGTCCTCAAGGACACATGGCACAGTGGATAAAGGCGTTGGTTAGATCCAGTGACAGACCCAAAGAAGGTGAGTTCAATACCTGGTTAAGACAGTGGATAACTTTCAGAGGGAAAATTAGCAGGAGATAACTGATAACTGACATCCATCAAACATGGCACGTGGAACTAGAACAGTCTACCCCAGTGATCGAAATAAAGGGTTCAGTTCGAAAATTCCAACCACCTGAAGAAGGCCGGAGCGTACAACGGCCGAAACGTTGTGACAAATATGGCGACAAAGATGAGGACAATAGTCCGACTAATGTAAATACTGTACGTAATACCTCATCTCAGAAATATAGACAAACAAAATGGGTATAACTAACAATAACAATAATAATGATTATTATGATGATGCTGTACTAAGCATTTCTCTCATGGCTTCTGATCTTAATCGATTGGATGGAGCACTTCGAAGCTTGTCTCATTAGAACAATTACAACAGAATAGGGAGTTCGATCTTTACTGGGTGCTCCATGTTTTCCGCTTTGTGCCACATTTAAGCTACGCTTAGAAAATCACCTTAATTGATTAGATGTGTCATCATGTACACGTGAATTAAGATGGGCTATAGTAAATATCCCATTCAATACCACAGATCTGTTTGACAAGGTCTGACCATAACCATTTTGTTGTGTCCTGTAATATCTGACGCACTCTTCATCTCTGTTCGTAAGTGAGATTGGTGGGGGAGCGTCAGTGCCGGAGTAGAGGGCTGTTTTTTTTTTTTTTAAGGATGAGGCAGCCAAGGCGACTCGAGAGACATATATACTTGAAACACACTTAATCTGAGATCGTCTAAACGGACTGGGTATTTCTAACTGGGTCCAACCTTCAAGGTTTTACGCTGCCTTTATCGAAACCTGTCACCGTATTGCGTATATCTGTCTGTGATGCATGTGCCTGGTATTCCCTTAACAGACTGTGTGTCATGGTGTGTCCGTTGGGCTTCGTATAATAGTACCCCAGCGCGACTTTCTTGACACGCTGCTCCCTTTTTCAATAATAATGACGGTGATG